GGGGGGGGGTGGACACGGTCTCTCAGCCCCACATGGTCGGGGAAGGACGGGCCCTCCCCGGCCCCCGTCAGGATTCCCGAGAGAGGAGGCCAGGCCCGGCTCACCCACAGTGAGGTCCATGGTGTGCCTCTCGCCCAAGGCCCGCAGGCGGTACAGACAGCCGCTCTGGTAGTAGTACTGCAGGAACTGCACGAAGCCTGGGGGTGGGGGGCAGCAGAACTGGGCTGCAGCTCCCAGTCCTCGGCAGCCCCTCCCCGTGGGGGGGGAAGCTCCCGAATGGAGCGGGGCCCCCTGAGACACTCACTCTGGTACATGGAGAAGGACAAGAACTGGTTCCGGAACTTCTGGTACATGAGGCCGTCAGGCCTAAGGCAGAAAGCAGTGGGAAGGGGAGGGAGCTCAGGGACACCCTCTGTCTCTGTTCCGCGCTCCCCTGCACCCCCTGCCCCGCCCCCCGCCCCAGGCCCTGGGGGCCAAGTCTGGCCACTCACCATGTCAGCATGACTCCCGACAAGAAGGTGGACACGTAATGATGGAAAACCCACCAGCCTTTGATCCTGTATCGGGAAGCCGCTGTCACTCCCGTCCCCTTGGCCCCGAGGATCGGCGCTCGGGGACGGGGAGCCAGACTGTGGTGGGAGGAAGCCAGTACCCCGATCCCGGGCCTGCTCCTCCGGGGCCCATGGCCCCCCGCCCCTCCCCCGCCCCACCCCGGGAGCCCACCGGGAGCCGTTGTTGATGAGAATGCTCTCCCGGATGGTCAGTGTGCAGTAGTACCAGACCAGCAGGAAGTTGAAGGCGGCGTCCGTCACCCTGTGGAGGGCACAGAGGACGTGGGTGCCGGCGCCCGCACGGAGCAGGGCGCAGCCCCGAGCAGCAGGACACCCACCTGGAGTTGAGGAGGAAGCGGCAGGTGAAGGAGATGAGGATGAGGATGATGGTGAGGTAGAGCTTGAACTTCTCATACTCGTCCTTGTAGGCAAACCTGGGTGGGCACACACTCGTGGCGCAGGCTGGGCTGCCGGCAGGGCCCACCCTCGCCTCGGCCCGGAGGGAGGCTCCCGCTCTGGACGGTGCTTCCGCAGGCGGCTCGGGGCCGGCGCCCCGGGGGGCTGAGCCCGGGAAGCGGGGGGCCAGAGCGGAGAGGACCCGGGAGGGTGGAGAGCGGGGTTGGGACCCAGCCCACGACAGCGAATTACTTAGCCTGCTTGCTCAGGAGTGTCACGTTGACATTGCCCAGAACCAGGCTCAGGTACAACCTAGGGGAGGGGGACACCAGGTAAGGAGAGGCCCCCAAGGAGAGGAAAGCCAGTGGCACAGAGCCAGGGACCCCCCCCCCCGGCTTCCCACAGCGGCGGCTTAGGGTTCTGACCCGGGGGGTGCTGCACACCAGCTCCATGGGAAGGAAACATGAGGGCGCAGCCTTTCTGCCTGCTCCAGGGCAAACCGACATCCCCTCCCTCGCCTCCCCCCTCCCGGGGTCCCCCCTCGGGGCCTCCCGGGCAGCCGGGCTCTCCCACCCCATGGGAGCCTTGCCCGCAGCCCCTACTGCCCCTGTGGGCCTTGGGCAGGACTCAACGCCTGTGTGCACGCCCACCCCGTCACCCACCCTCGCCCCCGGGCTCCCACTACCTCCGAGAACCTTCGGCCCTGAGTCCACTGCAGCACCCCACACCATGGCCGCACCAGGGCCCCCCTCCCAGCCAGGAAGGGCTCCCTCAAAAACTGCTCGCACTCTGACCCCGAGTACCCAGCCTCCCAAGCCGGTTTCACCGGGCGGACCCTGACCCTCACTGAGGCTTCCAGGCCCCCCGACCCCGGTCTCCTTTCCCAGGCCAGCTGAGTCCCCAGGCCCCCCTTCCACATCAGCCCCTTTCTTGTCAACCCCACCGCCCCCAGCCTCTTGCCACCGTCACTCCCGCCGACGGAGCCTGTCCGGCCCTTCTCTGCCAGACGAACCCCAAGAAGTGACCAAGTCCCACGTGTGCAGGACGCAGCACACCCACACACGAGCTCTTGCTCACGCTCGGGCCGTTGGGCACAGGCTCAGAGTGGTTAAGGGACTTGCCCCAGGCCGTGAAGACATGCTGGGGTGCATGCAGCAGGCACTTGGACCAGGCCACCTCAGCATCGCCACCGGCTCCCTACGCCATCCCTGCAGAGGCCCTGTCAAACCCTCCTTCCCGGTTGACATCTCCGGGGAGGCCCCCCTCCTCACGTGCTCTAAACACCCTCCCATTGCAAGAGAGAAGGGCCCACGCCCCGCCCTTCCCACCTCCCCAACGGTTTCCCTTTGCTGGGTCTGTGCTCCAAGGGCCCGGGCTCTCGGCAGGGAGACGTGCTCCAGTCTTCCCTGGGTACCAAGTAACACAGACCCGTAAGCACAAGCCTCCTCCTGTCCCCACCCCCACGAGTTCCACTCGCTGGTTTCGCCTTCTGCTCCCAGCCAAGCTTTTGAAGAGCTGCCTACACTCGCCTGTCCCCCCATTAGCAACCTCCACCTCCACTAACCTGCAGAGCGCTTCCCTCCCTGACTCCAGGAGACACTGCCCCTTCTGTATGGCTCCTGACCACCCCCACCACCGGGCCGTCTGATCTGAGGCTATCAGCTGCTCCTTCCCCCCGTCGCCCTCTGGGACATGCTCCTTTCCAGCCATCTTGCTGTCCCAGGCCTCCCCTGGATGATTTTTACTCACCCTAGCGTTGCGCCCTGGCCCCTGCCATTCCCCTCAGTGACCATGGCTGGCCTAAGGGTCACTCTGCCCAGCCTACTGGGCCCGAGGCCAGCTCCGAAGCCTGGCTTGGCCTCTGGTCTCATCACCACCCCCCACCCTGAGCTCTGGCCACACACACCGTTTCCACCCTCCTGTGCCTGCCAGGCTCCCTCCTTGATCCTCTACGCTTTCCCTGACCTCCAAGCTGGGCGAGGCACCCTCACTGTGCTCCTTCATTCCCTGTCCTTCCGCCACAAAACACCCATCTCCGTCAGCTGTCACCATCACTTGAGCTGTCCCCCCAGCTTGACTGCTCAGCCCACAGTGGGTCCAGGCACCATCTGCTGGCCAAGTGACTAAGCAGAGGAGACCATGCTTCAGGCCACTCTCCCGGGGCATCTGGGAACTGAGCTTGGGGGAGGGAGGGTCTCACCCATTCTTCTTGGGCAAATAGGCCTCCATATCGAAGAAGAGGCCCTGGCGCTCCTTGATCTGGTTCTCCAGCTCCTGGGCAGCCTCCTTGGCCCCCGACTGAAGGGAGGGTTTGCATCTGTAGGTGGGCCCACGGAAGCCAGAGTCAGAGCAACACCTCCCCACCCAGTAGCACACCTGACACCTGCGGGGCAGGAGGTGAACACGGCCCAGCAGGGGGAGAAGCCATGCCCTGGGACACTCAAGGGTCAGTGCCTGCTCTCCCCCCACCCCAGATCTGACCCCCAGCCCTAGGCCAGGGGGTATTGGAAGCTTGGGGGAATCAAGGCCAGTGGCGGGGGGGAGGGGGGGTCCTAACTTCTTCAGGACAAGAGCCAGCTCCTGGAGCCGCTTCTTCTGCCGAGTGATAGCGCTGGTACAACTGTTCTGCAGCTTGGTCAGCTCCTCCAGCTTCAGGCGGTATAGCCGGTGGGTCTCCTGGGGCAGTGGGCGGGGGACCAGAGTGAGCCTGCTGAGCAGAAGGTGGGGCAAAGACTCCCCCCGGGCTCTTTGGGAGGGTCTGAGCAGGAAAGGAGGCAGCCAGCCGAGGGACCCCCTGAGGTTGCCCTCCGCCCCAGGCAGGCCAGGAGATGGGGCTCCCCCTGCAAGCCCAGAAACAGCACCCCTGTCCCAGAAGCAGACTAGGTCCCAGAGGCTTTGTTTCATCTCAGCCCACCTACTAGCTGGCCCCGCCCAGATCTGTGCCACCCTGAGTTCGGATTCCAGGCGCGAGGGTCTACCTTCTGGACCAGTCAGGTGCCTTCAGGCAGCCACTCTGGTTCTCTGCGATCCTCCTGCCTACCCAGCCTACTAGTGCAGAGGGAACTGGGGTTGTCCAAGCAGCCTGCCACTCTGGCCCTCCCAGCATCTGCCTCCCAGGTTAAAGGTCATTAGGCTTCAGCCCTTAGAATTCCTGCCATTAAGACCAGTCCTTTTACCCCTCCCCCAGCACCTTTGGCCCAAAGCCTCCCAGAGCACTTTGCCCTGGTGGGTGAGTTTCCAGAAGAGCAGCCTGGAGACAACAAGGGGCAGTGTGAAGAAGGTCAGGCAGGGGTGGACAGGCTGGGAAAGGTCTGCCCTGCTCAGGACTGGCAGGGGCACGAGTGGCAGCAGCGTTAGCCCGGCCATGGGGCAGCAAGGCTTCCGTGTAGACAGGAAGGGGCTGGAACCAGTCCAGGAGAGACAAAGGCATGACTGAATACACAGCTAGCCCAGGCTCTACCCTTTCCAGGTCTTGTTTCTCGTGCCTTAAAGGGGCCACCACATCCCTTCAAAACCCAACATGGGCCACATCTGTCTGTCCCTACCAACCACTTTCTCCTGATGGAGACCAGCAGCCTTCTCCCCTGCTGGCCTCCCCACAGAACGGCACAATGGTCCACACAAGCCAGATCCCCACGATTCCTCCCATGGCTCGCCAGTGGTATCAGAAAGGTTCCAAGCCCATCCCGGCCCATGACGTCCCTGCAGGGTCTGGCCCACCTGCTTCTCCCCTCCCTCTCTTTCCAGCAGCCACATAACCCTGCCTTCGTGGGCGCTGTCCTCCAGCCTGGACGGGGCCCCGCCCCCATCCAGGCACTTCACCTAAACACCACTTCCCCTGGCTGGGCCGGGCAGCTCCCCCACCGGGCCGCTCCCCTCGCCACACTCAGCCCAGACCCCCTGCGCTGCCCTAGAGCCACGCCGGCGCCCACAGCATGTTTGCTGAGTGACTGACCCAAGGTTGGGCCCGGCTGGCTTTGACTCAGGCGGCCACTCTCCTGGGAGAGGACGGGGTAGGGGTCGGGGCCTGAAGGAGCCCCCTCGGACCCCCCCGCAGAAGGCCCCAGGTCCGCCAGGCTCAGTGGGTTTCCGCCAGGGTCGCAGCGGCCGCGCGGGCGATGGGGGCTGCCGCCGGACACTCATTTGAAGCCGAGGGGAGGGTCCAGCCAGGACCGCCAGGACCACCAGGACCCGGGGCCTCGCCACCCTCCGGAGCGACGCCGGGGTCCCCGACCCTTGACCCGGAACCCCCCACTGCTAACCCACGGCTGCCCGACCCTTGACCTCGAGCCAGAGAAACGTGGCTCAGGGCCAATGGGCGCCCGCACTGGCACTCACCTGGATGCTCTGGAAGTCCTGCTGCAGCTCCTCCCAGTCCCGCAGGCAGTCCCCCAGCGGGCCCGGAGCCAGGGGATGCATGGCTGCCGGGGCCACGCGCCGGACAAGCCGAGTCAAGGACCCCGCCGCAACCCCGGCCCTTCCGAAGCGCCTCCGCCGCCTCCGCCCCCGCCCCCGCCACCGCCCCCGTCCGCTTCCGGGCTCGCGCCGCCGCCACCACCAATGGTAAAAGGCCTGGAGCCGCCAGCGTGCTAACCCCGCCCGCCGTCTGAGCCAATCCGAGCCCGGGGCGGGCCCGGGGCGGGGCCGGGGCGGAGCCAAGCGCAGCAGGGGCGCTCTCCCCGCCACTCTCGGCGGGCCTGGGGCGGGCGCGGCGGTGGTTGCCGGCTTGTGGCTCAGCGGGTGGTGCGGACCGCGTGGTGTGGCCCACAGAGCTCCGGCCCGTCATGCTGGTAGTAAACCGAGGCCCACGGAGGTGACCCCTGCCTCGAACACTCTCGTCCTTGGGAAAGCTGCGCCTCTGCCCGGAGAGGATTCTGAGCCTCTTTTCTCGGCTGGATTTTTACAGCGGCCACCTTCCTACTGTCTCCCTGCCTCCAGGCTCACTGCTACTGTTCTTTCAGAGCCACCAGCCTGCCGGTCCTAATGCACCAGCCTAATCCCCACCATGTCCCTGACGGAAACTTACCAGTGGTTCTGCCCTTCCCACCAGGTCCCTAACCCACAGAGCCATCGCTTGCAGCCTTCCCAATCTCTGTTCCAGCTCCTATCCTGATCCCAAGCCTGCGCTGACCGGAAAGCCCTTACCCGTAGAGCAAAACCCCACTCTTTGAGGGCTTGGGCTTCCGTTGGGGGGAGGGGGAATCCACCCTCCTGCAGAGAGTCCTGGGAGGTGAGATGGCCCTCACCTCTCTGTCCCTCCCGGGCTGCACGCAGGTGGCAGGTGGCAGGGAGAGGGAGCGTCTGCTGAATGACATGGACATCCGGATTCCCCTGTCAGTCCCATCCTCTGCCCTCTCCTGACTGGTGCTGTGGTGCAACCAGCGCTAGGAAGTACATTCTGAAGAAAATTCCCTTTAAGACCTGGGGAATTTCTAGAAACATGGGTGTAGTCATAGGAGGGGTGGAAATCTCTCTTTGGGGAACCCAGCCAGGAGGAATGGGGAGGAAGGAAAGGAAATCTGAACAAGTCATCAACGGGCAGAGTGGTGGGGAGTGCTGGGACCCGGGATTATACAGGGGGTACTTGTGCCAGGAGCCTCTCAGAGCTGTGGAGCCTGGCACCTGGGCCAACGCTGGGCCTGGCAGATCTCCACCCATGGGGGCACTGTGACACCCTGTGGACTAACACAAGGCAGGGGGAACCCTTGGAGCTCCTCCAAGCCAGCCTCCAAAGGGTCCAGGTCAACAGGGGCATGTGGGATAGCTGCTCAGGAGCCAGATGATCTTCCAGAGGCAGCCTCAGAAGAGCAGTGGGGGTGGGCCAGGAAAACCCAGGGATGGGGGCTCTCGCTCAGTCTGAGCAGAGTACGCCTGCTCTGGGGCGTGAACGAGGAGCCTGAGAAGAACCACTGCAAGAGGCTGACACAAGACCCCAGGCAGCCAAAGGCCTTCTCTTTCCACACCAACCTGGTTACACAGCCTGGCCCACTACCCACAAGAGGCCCCCAAGTGAGGTTCTTCAGGACCCATAGCTGCACCACAGAGAAGATCAGTAGGGTGGATCCCAGATGTCTGTGACAGAGTCTCCAAGGATGACCTTCTCCCACTCCGAAAGCTGAGCCACCAAGCCCCGATTGGGATGCACGTTGTTTTTGCACTTCTTGACATAGGCCCAGGACTTCTGTCAATGCAAGGAAAGAAAGCAGACTTCAGGGTTGGACCGAGGCCAGCTCAGAAGGGACAGGAGGCACCTGCCCGTGGGCCAGCAACATGGCTTAACGGCTAGACATAGAAACAGCAGCAACCCAAGGTTAATACATCAGGGCAAGGAGTCACAGGAACTGGCTCTGTTCTGAGCAAGCCCCTCTGCTGCGAGATATGGAGACAGAGATCATTCTTCTTTCAGATGGGCCCTGTGAAGGTTCAGACAACATGGCTGAAAACTCCTGTGGGCAGGAGAGCACCATGCCCATGCCTGGCACACAATGCAACCTCAACAAAGGTTTGCACTGTGAACGGATAAATTCATGGAAAGGGGAAGAGAACTATGGGGGAAATTCTCCAAAAAAGGGAAACTGAAGCCACTTTCTTTCAGGCGTCCACCTTAAAATGCAGGAGGTAAAAGGACAAGCTGGTCTCTGTCCGGATGAAGGACAGAGGAAAAAGGAAAAGGCCAAACTAGGAAGAGAAGAAATGCATCCCAACCTAATAAAGGCCATATATGACAAGCCCACGAGTAACATCATACTCAGTGGTGAAAGACTGAAAGCTTTTCCTCTAAGATCAGGAACAAGAGAAGGATGCTAACTTTCATCACTTCTATTCAACATTGTACTAGAAGTCCTAACCAGAACAAAAGAGGGAGGGAGGGGAGGAGAGAAGGGAAAAGAAAGAGGCATCCAAATTGGAGAAGTAAAATTACCTGTTTGCAGATGACATGGGTTCATGTATAGAAAACCTTAAAGATTATACCAAAAAAATCTGTCAGAATAAATGAATTTAGCAATGTTGCCACATTACAAAATCAACACTCAAAATCAGTTGCATATCTATATGCTAACGATGAACAATCTGAAAAGTAAATTAAGAACAATTCCATTTACAATAGCATCAATACTTAGAAATAAACTTAACCGAGGAGGTAAAAGACCTGTACCCTGAAAATTATGAAACATGGCTGAAAGAAACTTAAAAAGACACAAATGAATGGAAAGACAACCTATGCACATGGATAGGAAGACTTGATACTGTTAGGATGTCAGTACTACTCAAAGTATCTATAGATTTAATGCAATCTCTACCAAATCCCAACAGCATTTCTTGCAGAAACTGAAAAACCAATCCTAAGATTCATAAGGAATCTCAAGGGACCCCCAAATAGCCAAAACAATCTTGAAAAAAGAGAACAGCACTGGTATTCTCATACTTCCTGATTTCAAATCTCTGAAGTTATTATAAAACTACAGTGATCAAAAAGTGTGGTATTGGCATAAAGACAGACATTTAGACCAAAGGAACAGGAGAGACAGCCCAGAAATAAGCCCTTGCATATATGGCCAAATGGCTTCAACAAGAGTGTCAAAACCATTCAAAGGAGAAAGGACAGTCTTTTCAACAAATGGTGCTGGGAAAACTGGACATCCATATGCAAAAGAGTCAAGCTGGACCCCTACCTCACACTATGTACAAAATAAACTCAAAATGATTGAAGATCTAAATGTGAGAGCTTAAACTATAAAAATCCTAGATGAAAACATGGGAGAAATGCTTCATAACATTGGATTTGGCAATGATTTCTCTGATAAGACACCAAAAGCACAGGTGATTAAAAAATGGACAAATTGGACTACATCAAAATAACAAACTTCTATGCAAAAAAAAAGACACGATAAACAGAGTGAAAAGGCAGCCACAGAATGGGAGGAAACATTCCAAAATCATATATCTGATTTATATCCAGGTGTTAATATGAAGAATATAGAAAGAGCTCCTAAAACTCAACAATAACAACAAAAACCCAAACAACCCAACTAAAAAACAGGCAAAGAACTTGAATAGACATTTCTCCAAAAGATAAATGATCAATAAGCACATGAAAAGATTTGCTCAACATCACTAATCATTAGGGAAATGCAAATCAAAACTACAATGAGATACCACCTCACACCCATTAAGATAATTATTATATTTAAAAAAAAAAAAAACCAGAACACAACAAGCATTGGCAGGAATGTAGAGGAACTTGAACCCTTCTGCACTGTTGGTGGGAATGTAAAATGGTACAGCCGCTATGGAAAAACAGTATGGAGATTCCTCAAAAAATTAAAAATAGAGATACCATATAATCCAGCAATTCCACTTCTGGGTATCTACCCAAAAGAACTGAAAGCAGGGTCTTGAAGAGATATTTATACACCCATATTTGTAGCAGCATTATTCACAATACCTAAAACATGGAAGCAACCCAAGTGTCCATCAATGAATGAATAGAAAAACAAAATGTGGCATACATACACAATGGAATATTATTCTATCTTTAAAAAGAAGGAAATTCTGACACACGAGACAACATGGATGTACCTTGGGGACATTATGAGAAGTGAAATAAACCAGGCAACAAAAAGACAAATACTGTGCGATCCACTGATATGAGGTACCTAGAGTAGTTGAGATCAGAGAGACAGGGTGGCTGCATGGCCTGAGGGAGGCAAGAACGGGGAGTTAGTGTTTAATAGGTATAGAGTTTCAGTTTTACAAGATGAAAAGAGTTATGGGGATGGATGATGGTGATGGCTGTACAACACTAGAAAGTACTTAATACCACTGAACTGTACACTTTAAAAAAAATGGTTAAGGGGTGCCTGGGTGGCTCAGTCGGTTAAATGTCCAACTCTTGGTTTTGGCTCAAGTCATGATCTCAGGGTCATGAGATCAAGCCCCATGTCAGGCTCCACGTTCAGTGTGGAGTCTGCTTGAGATTCTCTCTCCCTCTGCCCTGCCCCCCTCTTGCATGTGCTCTCTCTCTAAAATAAATAAAATCATTTAAAAAGTGGTTAAGATGGTAAATGTTACATTATGTGTATTCTAACACAATAAAAAGAGAGAAAAAAACTACAATGAGATGCCACCTCATACCCATTAGGATGGCTACCATTTAATAAAAAACAACAACAGAAAATACAAGTGTTGGCAAGGATGTGGAGAAACTGGAACCCTTGTGCACTGTTAGTGGGAATGTAAAATGGTGTAACTGCCATGGAAAACAGTAGAGTGATTACTCAAAAAAGTAAAAATAGAATTACCATATGATCCAGCAATTCCACTCTGGGTATATAATACCCAAAATAACTGAAAGCAGGTGGCCAGTGGGGCTTGTGTTTATGGGCTCAAAAGGACAGTAGCAAAACAAGAAATAATTCTTAACTGGCTATCATCCCAAGGCTCAGTGCAAAAGGAGCAGACAGAAACACCTATCTTCCAGTCTTCCCCTGAGAAAGGTATATTTACATACTTTTAAAGTTGCTTCCAATCAGCCTGAATCCAAGTGCAGACCGAGATCCTCCCCTTTAGGGCACTGATAGGTCTTGGCAAACCCTCAATTACTGAGAGCCACTAAGAACAAAGCAGGCTGCTTGGACAATGGGAAAGGTTTGAGAGATAACCAAGAACTAGGAAAGGGTTGAACCATAAGTTTCATTTCCTACACCAGGCCACTCCTTCAAGACTGGGAAAGGTGGCTGTTTTCCCTAATGCATAGAAACCAACAGAGTCAAGGAAAATGAAAAAACAGAGGAATACATTCTAAATGAAAGAAAAAGATAAAACCTCATAACAACCTCTTAATGAAATGGGGAGAAGTGATTTACCTGATAAAGAGTTCATGTCATAATGATGCTCACCGAGGTCAGGAGAACAATGCTTGAACAAAATGAGAATTCCAACTAAGAGACAGAAAACAAAGTACCAAACAAATCACAGAGCTGAGGAATACAATAACTGAACTGAAAAAATACAATAGAAGGATTCAACCACAGACTACATGAAGTGGAAGAAAGGATCTGTGGACTCAAACACAGTGGAGTGGAATCAAAGCAGAAAAAGAAGAAAGAAAACAAGAGAAGAGAAGAGAAGGAAGAGGAAAGAAAAGGAAAAGAAAAGAGGAAGAAAGGAAAGAGGGAAAGAAGGAAGGAAGGGAGGAGAAAACAGTGAGCATATCTTAAAGGACTTATGAGCAATATCAAGAGGATCGATGTTAACATTACAGGGGTCCCAGAAGGACAAGAAAGAGAAAGGGGCAGCCAACTTATTTGAAGAAATAACATTGCATACTTCCCTAACCTGGAAAAGGAAATAGATATCCAGAGCCCAGAGAATTCCAAAAAGATGCACCCAAAGAGATCCACACCAAGACCTATCAAAATTAAACTGTCAAAAGTTAAAGACAAGGATGGAATCTTAAAAGCAACAAGGGAAAAACAACTTGGTACATACAAGGGAAACTCCATTAAGCTCTCAGCAGATTTTCAGCAGAAACATTGCAGGTCAGAAGGAAGTGATGTGATATAGTCAAAGTGCTGAAAGAAAAAAACTGCCAACCAAGAATACTCTACAGAGCATAGCAGTCCTTCAGAATTGAAGGAGAGACAGAGAGTTTTCCAGGCAATCAAGAGTTGAAGAAGTTAATCACCTCTAGACCAGCTTTACAAGAAATGTTACAGGGATTTCTTTAAGCTGAAATGAAATGGCACTGATAAGTAACAGGAAAACAGGCAAGTATAAATATCACTGGTAAAGTAAAATTCAGAATAATCTAATGTAAAGGTGGTAGGTTCACTTATAAATCTAGTATGAAGGTTAAAAGACAAAAATAGTACAAATAGCTGTAACTACATCTTTAATGATATAAAAGACAAAAAGAGGTAAATTGTGACATCAAAACCATAAAATGTGGGAGTTGGGTAGTAAAGATGCAGAGCTTTAGACTGTGTTCAAATTTAAGTTGTTATCAACTGAAGACAGACTGTTATAAGTTGTTTTATGTAAGCCTCATAGTAACCACAGAGCAAAAACCTATAATGGATACACAAAAGATAAAGGAATAGCATACCACTATGGACAAATCACCAAATCACAAAGGAAGAGTGCAAGAGAATGAAAAAGGAATTACAAAAATAGCCAAAA